TTCGGCGGAACGGTGACGTTGGTTCCTCCAATACCGTCGGGACCGAATGTATTATACTCGAAAAGGCCTTTCGATTCTTAAACTCCTAAAGCCAGACTGTCCAAGACGCTGCAACCCTTTACGTGCGAAGCCATTCTGAAGCAAGGACACCCAAAATCTCAAAACCTCTAGAGAATTAAAGGCCCCAAACTGAGACAGAATGACTGCTGTTCATGATACGGTTCAAGCAAGAGAATCGTTGGGGATCTTTCTGATAAAATCATGATACTGAGCCGGAATTGAGTGTGGAAGATGTCAGAATTTAGGATACAGGCTTCTCCAAACTTTCCTATGCCCCCAAAGACCGAAGGGTTCCTTTCTTTTGCTAGCTTAAACAAGCTCAACCCCAAGACTTTGGTTAGCATTTCCAAGCAAAGGCGAGGCACTAGATGTCTCCATGCCCTTCAGCGCTTACTTTCCTGACAAGACCCATGTGTTGCTTCACATTGACCTTGGTTGTCACCGACTACACACGGTTCCTGCCAAGTGGGATGCCTTCAGGCAGGGACTCCAAACCCACCCCTCAACAGCCCATCATCCGGCAGCAGCCTGTCATCAAATTGGGGTAAAGGCGGCTTACAAGACTACTGAATGCAACGGGGTGACTCCAATAAAACTAACCTTTTCGTCTTGGTAGCACACAGCACGCATTCGGGGATGGCCGGAGGCGCCTCCATCAGGTGTATGAAGGTGTTACGCACCTTGTGTAGGCTTCGGTTCAGGGACCATAAGGATACGTAAGGATTGTAAAGGCTCGAGCCAGGAATCTTGCTTGAAGCTCGTTTGTCTGTGGATGATCTTTTCGATCTTGAACTGAGGGACGGTTCGCACCACACTTGAACTGCCTGTTTAGGGGCTATGATTAAAGGTCTTAGCTGTTTGCAGATTTTGGAGGAACTTAAGGTTTGGGGAGCTGCGCTCCTAATCTAATATAGGGGCCTTCATAATTACCTGTACTGTTTTAAGGGTTCCTTCTTATAATTATAGTCATAGTGCAATGGTCCCCAAACCCTATTCTGATTATTAAGGCCCCTGTATTAAGCTACCAATGTGTGCGACGTGGATGGGGAACCTTTTCACTGCCCAGCATACAGGTTAGGGGCCCACTGAGGCCTGGAGAACCCCGTACCCCGGACCTCCCAGCAAGGCTAAACGGGCTAGCGAAGCTGACTGGCACGTGTCGTGGTAGCAAGGTAAGTTCAGCACGAAACACGCGCGTAATCTAGTAACGTCATTGTAAGGACCTCTTGGCTATCGCCCACTTAGGTTCCCTACATCTCATGGAACTCCAACATGTTACCAACACAAGAACCAAAAGAAAGCCACATGGAAACTGGATCCTAAGAGGAGTTTATACTTACCAGGAATGGTGGCCAGGACCATGTTGATTCGATGCATTTTAGGATAGCCTATACGAGGGCCTGTACCACATTTATACCAGGAATCTAAGACCGTCACGCAACGAGTCTGGAGCATGTAAGGCCTAGGTGCCAGCAACAAGAGGTCTGAATTCGCCTGGGCCCCAATATGAATGATCCTGACTGGGGAGACTGCGAAAAAGGCACCTTTGGAAACTCGGGAATCCCAAAAAAGAGCATCCATGCTGAAACCTCAGATCCGGGCATGCACCAGACTCGGCGGATAGCCATTCAGATCCTCAGCCAGCCGGGCTTCATGAGCGTACGGTTTGCGGTTGGACTTGCGTTTTAGGTATGCGGAGGCTTAGGGCTTTCTGAGCCGCTGTTATGGACCTTAAGTTGAGTCTCCATGATAAGGAATCACGTGATTTGTGATATACCACTACTGCGGCAACTTAGCTGATGTGATTTGGTCTAGAGATTCGGGAACTGGGGTTTGGGTTTTCGGGATTAGCTGTCTGGGGTGGGGGGCGGGGTAGGGTTGTTAATAAGAATCATCAGAGCAAGACTAAGACTTGTCCGAGAATCGCGACATATAAACAACACGAACAAGAATAAAACCATAACAGTATTAAAAGTTGGAACAATGCTACGAGAGTACTGGTGGGCTGTCATAGCAATCTTGATTATCATCCGGACTCCTGCCTAATCAGCTGAACAAGGTGATGTCAGGAGCCGACTCAGCCCTCAGCCCTAAACCCCAAAACCCTCCATTCCAAACCCCCAAGCCTGCAACTTCCGGACCTTCAAGCCCTTCACCACCTGCAGCAAGAGCCTTTAGAGAGCAAAATGTCAAATAGCCCACTGCAATCTCAAAAATATCCATACACGTCCCGTAAATGCTTCCACCTTGAGGAACTCCTAATAAGATTCTAACATCCCCTGTCACCGTTTTAAGGTCGCATTTTCTTCACTCTTGCCACTTGGGCTCGCTCTGGGAAATTCTTTAGTTGAGCCATGAAGCAACGTCTGATGCTTGACCAGCGAATGAAGAGGAGTCCATCGCCCGGCCCAGTAACAAAAAGATGAGAACGCGCAACAGCAGGCCCTAAGTGTGCGAATCCTCACGGGGCGCTGACAACAACTCCCGAAACTGTTGAAAAGACGGTTGTCCGCATTGCAGGGGCTTTCCATTACTATTCGTGCCTCTCAGGCAAGATCCATGCAGGATAGCTCAGCAAACAATCTTTGCAGGCCGTTTATGTTAAAAGCGACCTTAATGATGAGATGCTGCGGTTGTGAGGGGGAGCCTCGCCATAGAAGAAAACTGACATCACAGAATCTCATGTCCAACAGTGCAAGCCGCTTGCTCTGGCGGACTAGATAACTCAGCACCCTGGTTTGTGTCATATTTCTTCCTGCTTACTGCAACAACACTGCGGGGACAGCAATTTTCTTTGAGGACACGACTGAATTTGGGAGAAGCTTTCTGTGCATGATAGTTGAGAACATGGTTCTTGCTACCTACAGAGGTCGGGACCAAGCCCCAAGATTTGCTTTGTAATTCAGCAGAACTTGCACTCACAGCAGGCTGACAGGAACCATCCACCCAGGGCCGAAGCCTCAAGCGGGAACCCAATTCAAGGTTTGGGATTAATACCTTGGGATTTAGGGTTCAAGGGCTCGGGGTTTGGGATTTCGGGTTTAGAGCTTACTGCTTTAGGTTTTGGGTTTCAGCAGCAAAGCCCAGAAAGTCTGAAAGTCGGTCCTTTTCCCCTGTTCGCTTCCCCATATGCTTCCTGACTGCGGTGCTCACACAGCGGCTCGGGACAGAAGGCATATCAGAATCATCCTGTTGGCTAGGGCTAGGGATGTAGGTTTCAATGAATATAGCTGGACTACAAGGGCATGCTAGCTGGGGCCAGATCTGTTAGCATGCGAGCCCTGCTTGCAACCCTCAAGGTCCCAATTACGGGTACCTCCATTCAATTCAAGAAGCACCTGAATACAGACTCACCAACTTTCATAAGAAGCCATATCCACGCTAGAACCCATCTTAGAATCATACTCCAAGAAAGTCCCATAAGCATCATTTCTAGAAGCCGTTACTGTCATAGACGCCAATACGAATATAAAGCCCTACCATAAACTTGCCAAAGCCCCCGTTATCTCAATTCTGCCGCTCTGTCTGTGGCTACGCTCCAAGAGCACACGAGACACGGTCCGAGACACGCGAGTCGCGCTGCAGGATTGCCAACTGGTGGCCCTCACTAAACCACGAGTAACCTATGCGGCTCTGAATAATCAAAACATGACTTCTTCTTCAAGAATGAACAATAATCAGTATGATTTACTGCTCCTGCGTAGTTCTCACCCAAGACTCTGCAGAAAGGACTGTTGTGAAGGCCAGTAGATTAGCTTGAATCCCGAATGCTTGGGCTCCTTATATTAACATATAGCTGAGCACTTGGATATAGGATGTTCGGGGTTTGGTGAGGGTTGAAGCTTTGAGAGATGCAGGGCCTGAAGGTTTAGGCTTTGGGTGGTTGCAGACACCAAAAATGAGAACGGAGAAGATCCCAGAAAGCTACTCTAAGGCATCGGAGCAGTTAGATCTGTGCAAAGATCTCAACGACTCGTAAACCTGATGCCTCAAGCCCAAAGCCCCCAGGCAAAAGCCCTGGGACCTCAAAGGAGCAAAATGCTTCAAAGTTGTTCGAAGTCTCTGGGGTAATAGACGGTTGTGGTAAACTTTTATGGGTTTGTCTGTGGCCTCACGATAGTGTTTAAAAGCACGAACACACAGGCTCCAAAGCATGAGTGGTTCCTACATCCCTTCTTCTAGGCCCATCATTTCCTTCCCCGTCAGCCCTGCAGTCTGGTCAAACAAACCATAGACAGATCCCGGATCTGAGAACCTCTCAAACACACCCTAGCATGATGGGCCCGACCGATTAGGCTCCCAATATGGAGGTTTTGGTAAGAACGTGGAAAAGGGTGTTGGGGTTCATGTTCAGATCAAACTCTGAACACCCTCACAGAACCCTTATGGAACCACAAAACCTCAATGCCCCATCTGGCAAGCATTCCTGCAGGCTGCTCATGTCTTTCACGAGGAGTTATAGATACTCCATACATGTTCTTTCCTCGCACATCGCCGCACCGACAGCTCGGCAGTATTGCCGGGCAATGGTCTCGGCTGATGATGTTCACGCGCCCCACAGTTTCGGATCTGGGGGTTTGGGGTTTGGGGTCCAATCTTGCATCGGGACACTATATAAGCTTCCCGTTCAAAAATGTTGTGGCCCTAGGGTCCGAACAGTCTAAAGTCTTGTTCAGTTTTCCAAGGGTTGGCGGAGACTTTGTTGGTTGATGGGTTTCGGTCCAACGATGAGCCAAAATCCTAGATTAAAGCATCAACCGGGCCTCAATTTGTAAAAGACTGGGATTGGGAGGGCTTTTCGCCGAAATGGATTCCGAAAGAGGGGCGGCGTCAGAATTCATGAATTCGGTGACAGAGCGTCTTTAGATTGCAAGCTTCGCTTACTCACAGGTGAGAGAGAGTAGCGCCGAAGCTTGGCACAGAGATCGCTCATTTCAGGTTCAAGCTCCTGGCGCTCCGGTGTTTTGATGCGTGCTTAAAAATGTTTGAGACTTTCTGCAAGGGTTCAGTCGGTTTCTAGGGCCCGAAACTAGAAGCCGGAAAGTGCTGATATCGGGCTCTACTTGGATATCTCGAAACATCGTCATTTTTTGGCAGTTCCCATGCGGCGAGTAGAGTGCAACTCGGTGTACGCTTGGAAGCTACGTCTAAGCCGTGTGGTTTGATCAACACACAGTACGTCAGATGTGAAGCTCCAGTCTAGACAGTGAAGAACACTTAAGGTGCTCTAGCCGGCATCTCGATTGTAGTACATCGTTTGGTTTCTCTTGTGGCTCTTGCTTTCGTATGATATCCTACCATACACGTCAATTACTGACTATCGCCAAAACCCCAAACGATGCTACAATCCAGGGACTTGAAGCAAGTACTGCGCGACGACAGACTTCGTATACCTTGCAATACTGTACATGCCAAAGGCCACGGAACCGCAGAGCGCTGAAGTACGGCGGAAGCTTTGGAGCTTATAGCTTGTTCCAACGAGTAGCCTAGGAGCAGAGTGCCACGAGAGTACACAGGTGCTGTTAGCCGAATCATCATATACTCCAAAAAGTACCACCCTACAGTGCCACTATCCTAGACCCTAAGTACGCAGTTACTGGCAAACGTTTTCTGGGGCTCCCTGTGGTTCAACTCTAAAAAACCTAGAAGCCCTCTAAGTAGAGTCGCATTGGGAAACCACGAACCAAACACCATGTGCACGAAGCTACAGCGACCTGAAGACGAAGCTTGCCCTTTCTTTGGAGACAGCGCCACCTTACACGATGTGTTTTTGATGTGGTTGAAGGATTTAGGGTTTATGATGGTAAGATATCTCCTGGCTAAGCGGGGCAGGGCTTACCTTTATGGCTGGCATCTATGCATGCTGGAAAGGGCTGGGTGCCACCCTCTAGGTACACCGGTGTACCCGTACCCTGAAGTTTAGACCCTAAACCTGCAAGACGGCATGCACCAAAGCTCGTCATGCAGGGACTGCGGCTTGAGGAGCCAATGATTCACTGATGCCTGTCTTAATCAGCCTAGATTCCATCTCTAATTGTACAGTGATCTGGAACCCTCAAGTGAAACCCTAAAAAAAAACAAACCCTAACCTCAAAATCCAAAGCCCCAAACCCTGAACTCTAAACCCAAAATCGTAATCCCTGGCCCTGACTCGTAAGGACCAACAAGCCTGAGCTTAAAGCCGAAAACAGAAACCCTAAAACGTGGGAAAGCCTGCCCTAGAACCTTGCAGCCTTGCAGATTCATTTGTGAAATCAGCAAGACCCCTTGCACTGATTGCATTGAAATCAAATCCTGAACTTGACGGGTGACGGGAATCGAGGAATGGAATGTGTGGAATACCATGAAGGATAATGCCGGATTGACTGGGAGGCCGACAGCGCTTGCAGTTCAGGGTTTAAGTTACAGGTTTAGGGCATATATGAGGCTCGGGTCTCACAGTTCAAACTCTAGGGTTCCGGAATTTGAATAAGGGATTTAGAATGATTAGTAACACTCTCACCTTGCAATCCGTCTAGGTGTACAATCAGTATCGGATACTCCCAATCTTGCTCCAGTTTGCTTGCCCCTCAATCTCTAAAGCTGGTGACGAAACCCATGGTGCAGCCGCAGTCGCCTGGCGCGAAGCTGCACTTGTGCGTTGTGGAGACGCCACCTAGGTGGCATCAACTCACAGTATCACATTGGCATGGCAGATTCAGGAAGCGCTTGAATAGACTGAAGAGCAGGATCCTCAGCATAAATTACAAGGTCCCGTCCTTCCCATGCAGATGGTTGCGACAAACTGGGCCAGTCCTTTGGATCCAAGCCACGTAACTGCCGCGCACAGGGCTGGAAGTGCAAGTTTCAACAGCCGTCCTGGAGCTTGCAGTGGATAAGCACGTTCAGGGACTGGAGTTTATGTGGAATCCACACTTTGGTTTGGTGAGTTTCTGGAGACTGAGCACACCTCCATGCAAAAGTCGTGATGAAAAGGTGCTCCCACCTGCCTCGGAGAGGTCCTCATCTCGTCCTGGCGAGCCCCGTGAAACAAAAACAATCTACAAATCACACCCACATCATACAAACCCTAAACCTAAATTACGATTGGGTTCTTGAGGGCTTAGTGTTTCAGATTTGAGGTGTCAGCTCTAGGGCTAAAACCCCAAAGCCCAACCCTAAATTCCCCACTGTAGCCCTGCAACCCTGAAACCCCAACTGCGATCCCAAAGCTTAGTAAACCCCTAACTGCAACCCTGCTCCCCAAAGCGTGAAACCCTGAACCCGTAAAGAGAGTTTGGAAGAACTTTCGTGAGCTCCACAAGCCAAAGCGTGTGAAGCAGCTCTTTCGCAAACTCCCACGACTCCCATGCAACCTTGACTGACCGTACCCAAGTATGTACAGCTCCAAAGGTTCGTATGAGATGTCGACAGACCCTGCAACATTAACACCAGCCCCTACACCCCAGGCCGCCAAATCCTATAGGAAAACAAAAAGGACTGTCATCGTCGCAGTCGCCGTAGAATAGTAGTGGTAGTAGTAGTCGTCGTCGTAGTAGTAGTCGTCGTCGAAGTAGTAAGTAGTTAGTAGTTAGTAAGTAGTAAGTAGCAAGTCGCAAGTAGCAAGTCGCAAGTAGCAAGTAGCAGTAGCAAGTAGCAAGTAGTAGTAGTAGTAGTAGTAGTAGTAGCAGCAGCAGCAGCAGGAGTAGTAGTAGTAGTAGTAGTAGTAGTAGTAGTAGTAGTAGTAGTAGTAGTAGTAGTAGTAGTAGTAGTTCGTCAATAGGTCAAAGCATGTTACGTAAACGGACCCGTCGCGAATCTTTGGCAGACACAATGCATTACGTCTTAAAGCCTTTCTGCACAGATCCGAAGACAGGGATCTTCGATCAGTGCTCATGTTTATGTGTATATATGCATGTTTATGTATCCTGAGCGGCGTTCTTTGAAAAGATGCCAGAATATTAACCTGACTCCTTAAAAATTGCATATCATCCATGTTGCTCCTATGAACACCAACAAGCTGCAACACATGCGCCGAATCATGAGCCTCAGAGTCGAAGCCCGCCGCCTTGTCCAAGAGCAAATCCTGGCGGGAACCTAGCCTTCTTCAATGTTTGAATACAGCTTCACCAACGTAGGGCTCAGGAGCTAAACCCCAGACTACAGGGCTTAGCAGCAATAACTCGTTACCATTGCAGTTGGTAACTGCTTCTGGGGTGCCACTAAAGTCTAAACCTCCTAATGAACTTCCCCAGCCCTCGTCCAAATTCTCTTCGGATATTCTCAAGACTTGGGACTGTTGCACGAATCCCTGGGATTGTGCCGGACATACTAGGAATCTAAACACACAATACAAACCACTTGCCTAGGATTTATGAAGGCATCTTGAGGATTTGTGTAACTGCTTCACATGAGAGTGAAATCCTCCCACAGCAGTCCGTCGTTAACAAGCCCAAGCAATCATTTCACCTCTCCACTAAAATCCGCACACCGTCCCAGCCTCTCTCGAAAATCGGTAAAAGTTAGCTAGTGAATTATGGATCCCCTGCCCCAAGTCAAAACAAATCCAAGAGGCTTTGCAACCTGTTCCGTGCCCTAGATTGAGCCAGGAAATGAGGACCAGTCGACAAACAAGCTCTGAAGTTACCCGCAAGAACCAGTTTAATCAACAAATGAAAAATGCTTGACATACTCTCAATACTCTCCTGTTCTCATGATTTCTCCTAGAATGACCATGTGTTACAACAGAAAAAGATACCAATCTTAAAAGTATGCGTACACATGGCCACACCTTTTGCGCAGTACTACCAAATCGACCGACCCTCTGACATCTAGGGGTGGGGAGTGGGAGTCAAGAGTTTGCTGGTGAAGAATATTTCGATTATGTACGTTCAACCGTTGGACAGTTATGACCATGAGACTGGTATTCGACACAGGCTTCCCCAAGCTGTCTACATCGCCCTACTGCCTTGGAACATCCCCTCTTGACGTCACATCCCTGATGTTGAAAGCAACAGAAAACTGGCCCTGCCTCCAGGACCCCGAGGGCATCAGTCTCGCGGCCCTGGTCAAGAAAAAAATGTGGGTTCTTTGGAGATATCAAGTTAACAGAACCCCGCATGGTGGCACAGACCTCACAAGCAGCGACTTAACCGAAACCCCGAGTAGAGCACAGTATGTTCTGTAGTACAGTAAGCTACAGAATACTATAGTGCTGTCCCAGAACCTGTGCCAAGCGCGCGAGATGGTGGACCATCTCCTGATCAGGGTTCAGGGCTTTGTAGTGGGGCTTAAGACGTGCATGCTGCATAAAGACCTATTGTTGATGCTCACTCTCGGCCAGGGAAGGTCGCCAGACACAGATTCTTGAACAATACATACATATTTGCAGTCGGACCTTTCAACTCATTTCGCGTCATGTCATGTCATGTCGCTTCAACCCGCTACACTGCATTACATTACATTATACAGTACAAGCAGAAGTAGATGCTGCGCACAGCTGCAGAAGCGCGGTAGCCGTAGTCGTAGTAGTAGTCGTCCTCATCGTGGTCTCCGTAGTACTCGCGCAGGGAGCAACAGCACCAGCAGCAGTAGCAGCGGCAGCAGCAGCAGCAGTAGCAGTAGAAATAGCAGCAGCAGTGGCGGTAACTTTGGCCGTAGACGCAGAAGTAGCGGCAGCAGCAGCAGCAGCTAGTAGTAGCAGCAGCAGCAGCTAGCAGTAGCAGTAGCAGTAGCAGTAGCAGTAGCAGTAGCAGTAGCAGTAGCAGTAGCAGTAGCAGTAGCAGTAGCAGTAGCAGTAGCAGTAGCAGTAGCAGTAGCAGTAGCAGTGCAGTGTAGCAGTCAGTCAGTTCAGCAGGAGCAGTAGTAGTAGTAGTAGTAGTAGTAGTAGTAGTAGTAGTAGTAGTAGTAGTAGTAGTAGTAGTAGTAGTAGTAGTAGTAGTAGTAGTAGTACTAGTAGTAGTAGTAGTAGTAGTAGTAGTAGTAGTAGTAGTAGTAGTAGTAGTAGTAGTAGTAGTAGTAGTAGTAGTAGTAGTAGTAGTAGGTAGCAGCAGCAGTAGCAACAGTAATAGATACATACATACATACATACATACATACACACACACATATACATACATATACATATACATACATACATACATACATATATATAGATATGCATATATAGCACGCACGCACAACCAGACAAACACGCAAACGACAGCAAGACAACACATGCAAACATGCAGTGCAACAAACAAACAAACAAACAAACGATACTTTGGATACTGTCATACCAAATCCAATAAACATAACCTGGACCAGAACATTCTCCAACCGCCCTGGTCTCTACGAGCGGTCTCGGCCTCAGGACCTTCGGGCGCGGAAGACAGCTGCAACTCGACCGGCCGTGCACCTCCGCGCTGTGATCGAAAGAGGGACGAGGGCTAGTAGCCTACGTGCTCACACAGCTTGCTTCGTTGAGAGTGCTGTCGATATGTGCTGCCATCTAGAATCTAAAACACATTGGGGATCCTGAGTTGAAAGCCGCTCTTTGCTTTCGAGTGCCTGGAATATCGTGCCGGCGGCGCGGAACACGTGCGTGGTACTGCTAGGCGGCTGCTACGAAGAGAGCCGATTTCCAACCAGATCAAGGCGAGGATCTCAAAGTAGATCCCCAAAGTCGGTCATTGGTCTCAGCAACGGTTTGACCTTCTACCAGACTGGACGCTGATAACCCCGTCGAGGAGCCATCACGCCCTCCTTGGCCAAGATAAAGCGATGCTTGACCTGTCTCAGCGTCTTTTTTTCGGGCTTCAAGCCGGCGGGGCTTTTCGGATGTTTTGGAGGCCGCGCGGATAGCACAGGACAAAACTCGTGGGGGTTGGGGGGCTCATCTCCACCGAGTTTTACTGCAAGCATGTAGACTGGGTCGCAGATGCCATGAACTCTAGCAAGGCAACTAATTGGATGGATACCATGCAAGATAAATCGCACGCTTGTCTGGCTTGCACCTGTCACGCTCGACGCGTCCTCTGGCAGATCGGGAGGGCAAATGGCAAAGCTGGAGCGCGGCACCTGGAAAGGGTTGTATCAAGCCAAGTCTAGCAACACAGAGTGAAGAACTTCAGATGCGGCACAGACTGGAACGAATCTGTGGCATCATCCGTGGCCGCCCTTCCCAGCGCTGCGGCAGGATTGCCTGAATCGTGAGCACTTCACTGCACAAGGCAACGTCGCTAGATTTCACGACCATTTCCAAGCCTGCCAGCACTCCCCCTCCGGCCGGCGAGCTTCCTCCCACCTCGGTCACGCTCTCAGAGCCTGTTTAAGATCCCTGCCATAACAGAAGTGGGCAACGGCCCCACAGTAGCGTGTTGGCATACGGGATGTCCGCGTTTGTAACACCACCGCTGCGGCGACGACGACAACTGCTACTACTGCTACTACTGCTACGACTGCAACGACTGCTACGACCGGTGCGACTGCTACGACGGGTTGTTGTTGTTGGTGGTGGTCGTTGTAGTTAGTCGTAGTTCGTAGTAGTCGTAGTAGTCGTAGTAGTAGTAGTAGTAGTAGTAGTCGTAGTCGTAGTCGTCGTCGTCGTAGTAGTCGTAGTCGTAGTCGTAGTCGTAGTCGTAGTAGTAGTAGTCGTCGTCGTCGTCGTCGTAGCAGTAGTAGCAGTAGTAGTAGTAGTAGTAGTAGTAGTAGTAGTAGTAGTAGTAGTAGTAGTAGACCCGCTACCCGCTGCCTGCTACGTTCTACTCGCTACCCGCTACCTGCTACCTGCTATGTACCACCACCTACTACCTGATGCTACTGCTATCGCTACTTCTACTTCTACTGCCACTGAACTCAAAACTGAGGCCCAGGAACCACTTCAGCCATCGCTGCTTGTCGAAGGCCCGGCGAGAGGGAGACACCACCTGCAGTAAGGAGCATTTGGCCTTCGGGTGTTTTGAAGTTGAGCTGCTTGCCATGTTGGCGAGGCATGGGTGCTGCAGCAAGACATGTTCAGCGAGCGAGGAGAGTATATACTGAGTAGTTTCTTGGATGCTCTGCGGAATCCCTCCTTCCTGGACCCTGTTGATACAGAATGCGTATCCGAAGAAGTCATGGAGGAACTTGGAGGCTGGATGAACAAAGAATGAAAAGCCGGATGACTGCCTCGGCAAAACCATAACTGCGCATTGAAGTCTCTAGAATTTACACGAGGCAGCTGTCTGAACTTTAGTCTGATTTCTTGGAGCCCTGGCCTGCCATAGAACTCGTTGCACGGTAGTCCTGCAAAACGTGCCGGTGCCAGCCCGGTGCAGGCAGCAAACAGAACTCTTTTGCCCGGGCGTTGCGCCTGGAGAACGCGGCCACTGTCTTGGCGGCCTCAGTGCAACTCTTGGAAAGGCTCCTGTCCACAGTGGTGGTGGTGGTGGTGGTGGTGGTGGTGGTGGTGGTGGTGGTGGTGGTGGTGGTGGTGGTGGTGGTGGTGGTGGTGGTGGTGGTGGTGGTGGTCTCCAAGATACTCCAACTCAAGTCGCTTCTCGCTCCCTTTCTGCTGTCCATCTCAGGCCCTCTGCCAAGTTCTGGCCGTACCGAGAGCCAAAGATGTCAACGGACCGCTCCTGGTTCGAGAACATCCAACCCGCTCAGACCTTTCGGACTCTGCAAAACAAAAGGTGTTGCAACGGCTTTGCCAGGGAAATATCGGTAAAGGCCCTCAAGAGAACTACAAGAGCCAACAAGAGCCGTCAAAAGCTACAGTCCAACGTTGACCTCCTACTACGGCTGAATTACAAAATACGACTTTTGAGCCACTGGCTCCATGCGTCCTTTGCGCACTACATCTCGACCAATGTCGTACTGCAAAGGTTTCGAGCCACCGACGCTCCGGATGTCCTCCGGCAAACACCCAGGTCATCAACCACGAGAGTCCAACGGAAGCAAGTCGTCCGCCTTAGCTATCGGAGACTCGCAAAAGACCGAGATAGTCGTCGTGTAGGCAACAAAAACACCAAGAATTAGCGATTGACGAGGCAAGCAATCCCAGCGCTCGCTGATGCCGAACGTGTGCAAAGGGCAGTCTTTTGCGATTGACAATGCGACCAGTCCATCAGCGAAAACACCATCAAGGACCACGTGTGCCGCACGGTGTGGTCTGTCTTTTGTACTCTGGACGGTAGAAGCCTGTAGTGTTGACACACCGTAAGAGCAAAAAATTGTTGCCACAGCTTCTCCAGTTTGCCATCTCCTTCGGCTTTGTGTTTTGGATGTCCATCATTCGTCTTGAGAGGCGCAGGCACCGTAACCCTGCCGTAAACTCGTAAGCATCACAACACGGAGGACAAACAAATTGAGGGTATGCACATCTCTCAGAAGGGGTCAAGGCTCCTACTATCACTGGTAGAACCCTCCAGGGCCCCAAAAGCTGGCAGCACTCCAGAAGAGCAGGCCTGGGTGTCGGGATCCATTTCTCTGGACACCTTGATCCACGTGGAGGTCCTCGGGCCGAGCCAAGAAGCAAGAGCGAAGGAAGCATGAATCATAGAGTCTGACAGGGACCCTAGTATAGTACCCTAAATAGTAGGATCTTTATTATAAAATCCCCAAGATAAGGTACCCCCATTTTCGGAAACTCCAGAGGGAACAAACGAAAATTCCCCCCGGCTTCCCGGTTTCTCCTGTTCTCGATCTCCCGGACGGCGCGTCCTCCTCTGCCGATGACTTTGGCAGCATCGCTGTGGAGGATCCACACCCGCACCTGAGTCTTCTGCCGCAAAGACCAAGAGCAAGGAAAACTCAGCAGAAGTCGTCGCAAGACCGATGACACACGTTGCGTTGGCCGGCCTTGGCACCAGTCTGGCCATAGCATCTCCGAGGAACCATTGCGCAAGGCGCAAGGGGCTCCCACCCACCACACCCACACGCTGACTACAGATCTGCTTTGTCAAATAAAACTGGGAATAAAACTCCATGCACTGTTCGTGCAGTGTTCGTCTTGTTTGATCAAACACGGATGCTGTCATGAAAACAACCTACTTATTTTCAAGATCACAAAACACACTCACTAACCAAATCGACTGATATGGCCGCCTGTGCTTCGAAGACACGGCGCCGTGTCAATTCCACATGTGACGAAGAGTCGGGTGTTTGCTGAGGTAGTCTTATCCTCCCTGGATCAAGCCGTTTTATTGATCAAGCCGCGTTATTGAATCCGGCCGACTTCCTTCTGTAAAAGGCTTTGCCCTTGATCGCGCCAGCTTTAGAGCTCCAAAAATGCCTGTCGAGGCTTTCGTGTGCCCCTTGTAGCGAAGGCAGAAGCTGGATGCCTCGAAACCCCATCGTGTTTTCGATGACTCAGGCAGTCTGATACATCTTTCTTGGGTCAAGCCGTGCTCTTCGAACCGGCCGAGTTCCTCCCGAAGAAGGCTTTGCCTATATTTCCGATCATCAAACGGATATCTTTCATATGACTACAGAAGGACATGACTGATGCAGTCACTGGCGCTCCCCATCCGTCTTTTTGGGCAGAATCTTTCACGATGCCATGTGGTTGAAAACATACGGTTTGCATCACGGCCTGACCACGATGTCACACCTCCAAGGCGTGACCCTCGAGTCACCGCCATTAGGCAAACTCTTGTTTTCCGAATGTACCTGTTCGGGCGGGTGGGTTCAAAATTTTGTGCTTCCGAACTTGCGATGCTGCAGCACATTCCGGAATGATTCTGAACTGCGGCAACATGATAAGAAGTTGATAAAACAAGCTGTTCCTCGATGTGTGTGTTCAACGCTTTGTCCTGACATGAAAAACACGTTGCTGCGAAATGGAAATACAGTGACAATCACAAGTGATGTGGGCCCTTACTTCCAAGCTACCGACTGCTCTTACGAGCCTTGGACTTCGCGCGCGGCTGGAACAGGCGAGGTGCTGCATGACAGTGTCCCCTCAGAATTTTTCCGTTCCCAGGCGTCCGATGAAGACTTGAACATGCTAGGATGACTCCGGTCGTCCGATGTATGAGGTAAAAACGTATGCTGCCGTTTTTGCCTTTATGCTTTATGTTGTGCACCGCATGTTATCTGTGCAACGAGGCGGCTCCGTCTGCGTTGATCGCCGGAAAGTCTGGGACAGGAAGCTGCTCAGGAAGTTCCTGAACATCGAGATGAGGTCATGTTATGAGTAGGCCGTGGTTTGGGCTTGTGCCTACGCACTCAAACCCATCCGATGAGCCCAGCAGACATGAGTTTCGGAACTTGATTCGGCATGCGGCAAAAGCGCAAAGGTGCGTTGCGTAGGCTGATGTGCGAAAGGTCTGTCTGAGTGATTTGTCCCCCATGCACTTGACCTGGGGATGAACGGGTACACCTCGCAAACAAGACTGTGCCTAAAGGCGGTGACTCGAGGGTCACGCATTGGAGGTGTGACATCGTTGTCAGGCCGTGATGCAAACCCACACGGACGTAAACAGACGCAGCTGGAGCGCAAGTGATTGCGTCGTCATGTCATATGAAAGATATTCGGTTGATGATTCGCCCTTCTGTCGGATCTCCAAGGGTGCAACTGCTTCCACGCGCGACAGCAGAGCTTTCAATGTCTTCTTCTTCTCATATATAAATATACACATATACAACCCACTGAATTCCAAATTAATCTATGCCGAAACATTTGGGCGAATCAAATCTGGACAACTCACACTCGCACACCTGCGTTTTCACACAACTGCAAAAGGGGTCTTCAAGTGCATGCGAGTCCCCAATTCGAAGAATTTTCTGTGGATCCTCAGCCATCGGCCTCATCGAGGATGAGTGCATCACACCTCCCCCTCCCCACTAAGCCAAATTTCGGATGCCCTCAACTCAACATGAAACTGCAAAGCCTCTGCAAAGGAACAAAACTCTCCCAAAGAAATACCGGGAGATATCAAGTACTAATCCACTGGACATCTCATCATCAACGAGCAACATCGTACAGCCAAGCTTGCAAACTCCATAAGAACAATACGCACCCAACGTTGTGCCGGGCAATTTGTCAATCAGGTGCCGGATCAGGCGCTTGTGAAACCGGACAACCGCCATCAGTTTCACTGGACGGCCGTCCGCTTGGCCCGGGTCAATGCGGACCATGAGACTCGAATTTTGGCGCACTCGTGCCATGCGCGACGCATCACCAAACTGGTGCCGTCAGCGGTGCAGCTTAGCAGCAGAGCCTCAGCCGATGCGTCACGACGAGTTTCCTCTAGTAGCACTAGCAACAACATCCGGACAACAGTCGTCGTCGTAGTCGTAGTAGTAGTAGTCGTCGTCGTCGTCGTGGTGGTGGTGGTGGTGGTGGTGGTGGTGGTGGTGGTGGTGGTAAGGAAAGTGGTGGTAGTAACAGTAGTAGTAGCAGTAGTAGCAGCAGTAGCAGCAGTAGTAGTAGTAGTAGTAGTAGTAGTAGTAGTAGTGGTAGTAGTAGTGGTAGTAGTAGTAGTAGTAGTAGTAGTAGTAGGAGTAGGAGCAGGAGTAGGAGTAAGAGTAGGAGTAGCGGGAGCAGGAACAGGAGCAGTAGCAGTAGCAGCAGCAGCAGCAGTAGCAGCAATAGCAGCAGTAGCAGCAGCAGCAGCAGTAGCAGCAGTAGCAGCAGTAGCAGCAGTAGTAGCAGTGGCAGCAGCAGTGGCAGTAGCGGCGAACCAGACCAAAGTCACCCAAACGTGCTCTGAACGTGTCAACTATGAGTTTGCCACTACGACTACTACATAGAACATAGACGGAAGGAAAAGCAATATGTGATGCTCGGTTGCTGATTAATTCATAATCCAAGACACGGAGTCCGAGGTACTGCTGGCGAAACTGGGGCTTCCCCTACTGGTCTGGTTACGACGCGCAATCACTCTTGGCTCCCTACCATCGGGGTTGCCCACATCTCAGACCGTCTAGCCACCTGAGAATAGCACCAGCCACCTGAGCATAGCGGAGCATGTGTGGGCAGGCACTTCACAAGAATGCGCTTGGTGCTGCCTCCACAATGTGCACGACAGCATCGCCCTGACCAGAGGATTCCACGGCGACCTGGAGCTAGTGAAGGAGCACTGTTGGCACCAGTGGGGCTTGTTCTACCAGTACTGGTTTTGGGAACGTGCCCCAATGTGAACAAGTAAAGCTTGGTTCCCCGGCCACTGTGGCGGCATTCGCCCCCATCTCTGTGAAACTGACAGCCTTGCTGTGGTGGGACGGCACATCCGCATTACAATGCTGTGCAGCATTCCATGTTCAGCAAGCAGAATCTGCATGCGCTTTCGCAAGGGCGGCGGCCGGCCGTGGGACCGCAAAGGCATCTTCCTTGCTAGACTCCATGTAGCTTGGTGGTCTGGCATCTGGCACGCGCCATGCAGGCTGATTGCAAGTCCTCTACGACCTCGGTTGCAGCCGCCGTTGACGGTGGAGCGGCAACAGCCGCGTCAACCGCTGCAACAGCCGCGGGTGGAAGCTGCTCAGCGACCTGGAGCTGTCGGGTGCGGGGAATCGAAGCACAGCAGACTCAAAGCTCTGCGCCGAGCTCGTGGCCGGGATGCTGCCATCTGGGCCCTCTGCGGCGCTGCCTCCAATCCGGTTCATGTGAGTCTAAAACATGCTGTCACATACCGCATTCGGCCGAGGCATGAATCCCAAACTAGAGCAGGTCAGCTACAATCTCCGGAGGCAGCTAACGCAGCATGTCGTGCAGCCCAAAAGCCCTTCCTCGAGGTTGCATTGGGCACATCAGCACTCCTTCAAGCTGGAATCGACACTTGAAATTATTGCATGTTCCTTTGGCTACTTTTTGGGAAAAGCTGCATGAGGCGCCTGCCAGCTTCAGAGCATCATTGAGCAATCCCGTGCCATAGCTAGAACAACCAAAGTATCCAAACCACATGCTCCACAACTCCGTACACAACTACGTGCTCACCGGCTCAAAGTGGCTCAAAGCCAACACACGCAACAGGGATGGTATCTTGCATGTCAGCAATTGCATCGGCAAAACTGTAACTGCCCCTAACTGCTTCGTGTAAGGTGCCCCAGTGGCATGACCGGCAGTCTGAACTCTCAGCTCGTTTCATGGTGCGCGCCCTGGCCGCCCTTGCCTGCCGGAGAGCTCGTCGAGCGGCCCGCCGCTGTCTGCGACAAAGGTGCTTCGGTTACATGGGAGTTTCTGAAAATTAGGGGTACCGTCTGTTGGGGTCCGTCGCAGAACCCCTCAATTCATCATCTGTCCCCTCTAATTTGGCTCTCCTGCCTGCATGACATTGGCCGACTCTACTGGCAGGAAAGCCTGGCACACCGGCAACTGACGATCGTCCAAGGACAGGAGGAGCCGGAGCATCCTGCCTCCGTGACAAAGTGGTCCTCCAACTCCTGAGGTGCAACAGTCCAGACACTCGGCGATTCACTTGGATGGATGTACGACCCCGCCGTGGCCCCCACCCACAAAAAGGCCACAGGCCACAAACACACCCGCAAAAAAGTTGAACTCGGAGTTTGTGAATGCTGAGATTGGATGGATTGGAAATGACCGAGTGTGAAGGGGTGGTCAAATTGCGCTGGGCACAGGGTGGCGTTTAGGCCTGCCCCTACATCCTGCTTCCCCCAACACATCTGGCTCCAAAGCCTGTCCCTGGGCCGCAGAACCGATACGGCATGTGCCTCACCCGACCCTCTACCCTGCCTGTACCTCTCAAGTTCTCCAGTGTTTATCCTTTCCCGGGCATGGCCTTCATGTCCCGCACGGAACGGCGACGGCGCGGACTCTCTGAGACCTTGGCAGCCAATCTCGAGCTACTGGGAGGTCGTGTTCCACCGTTTTGCCAAGAAGCCAGTAGCCGAACGAAATGCTTCTCGCAATCTGGAACGCTCGCATACTCGATCATGAAGCGGAGGAGCCTTGGCTGGCCATGCACGGACCAAAAGCCGTAAGATGCTAAGCCAGAAACTTCATAATGCCGGGCTAAGCCACGATTGCATCTCAACGGTCGCACTCCGTCCCGGGTTCAAGCACTTGCCGTGGAACCGGACCTCGTCCAGAGCCCGGGACAGCTCTTTGCCAAGCCAGCAGTCACCGAAGCGAAGGCAGTTTGGCTCCTTCGCAAGGAAGCTTCATCACGGTTTGAAGACCAGGGCACTCTCCGCCATGCTACACACATCGGCACAGCTTGCAGCATGCACTTAGGGACTGAAGGCGATCCTTCAGAAGCAAGCTGACGGGAGCTGGCCCAACGGACACTCCAATCTTGACCGGCGACACGAACTTCTTGGGCAACAAGGTCGGCAACACCTCAAGCACGCAACAGCATGGGGCATCTGGCAGAAGCGATTCACCCCCCATTTATCAGACCTGAAGCCCTACCTGTCTTACTAGCCGGTAGCAGCTAGCCGATTCTGTGTTTCTTGCCGACAGCACTCTTCTAGAACATCGTCAGGTTCAGTTCAGAATGGACACACAGGCCACACGGCGTAACTCCAAGCACCAGCTGAGCCTGCTTTCGTGACTTGCTTGCTGACCACAGAACCCTTCTTGCCCGAGCCTGGGAGCACACGACCGCCGTCCTCTCACCGACCTTCCATTCGGGACGAAGCTTCAATTCTTTCAACCTAGAGGTTCTGGCGGCTAATCTGCGAGGCCACGGCCCTGACTACACCGGCCAGACGCTGAGTGCTCGGAAAAGCCGTGGAGCCTCAGCTTGAAGGGGAATTAGAGTGAACTACTAATTGTCGTGAGCACTATTTCGGCCGCGGTTTCGGACTTGCCTTAACATGGGATTTTGCAGGTGCAAAACGACTACTGCTACTACTGCTACTACTACTACTACTACTACTACTACTACTACTACTACTACTACTACTACTGCTACTGCTACTGCTACTGCTACTGCTACTGCTACTGCTACTGCTACTGCTACTGCTGCCTGCTGGCGCCTGCTACTACTACTACTACGACTGCTACTGCTACTGCTACTGCTACTGCTACTACTACTACTACTACGACTACTACTACTAGTACTACTACTACCGCTACTGGTACTACTACTACTACTACTACTACTACTACTACTGCTACTACTACTACTACTACTACTACTACTACGACTACGACTACGACTACGACTACGACTACGACTACGACTACGACTACGACTACGACTACTGCTACCATTACTTTCCTACTGCTACCACATTTACTATTCTTTCTACAGTACGAAAACTGTAATACTACTGTACTACGGCTGTACTGGGACCGTTTATGATTTCCGCAGGTTACCACTGACCTGTAAGCGATTTATGACGAAGGTCGCTGTATAACGGACCCTCCGGCTGTTGTTCACATGTGCGAAGTCTTTCATACAAAGATACAACCATTCAAGGGTGGACGTTTGCGTTACAAACTTACTGTGTGACCTTGAAATTTGCAAAGTCCACTATACAAAGATACCAAAATTTCAACGGTGCGTGTTGCCGTTACAGACTTACAGTGTCCTTGAAATTTGCACAGCATACCACACGAAGATACAGAAAGCGGACGTTGGCGCTACAAACTTACCGTGTCCTCGAAATTTGCATAGTCCACCATACAAAGATGCCAAAATCAAAGGTGGACGTTGGTGCTACAGACTTAATACAAACATACAACAGTTCAAGGGCGGACGCTAGCATTAAGAACATACGGTGTCTTTGCAATTTGCAAAGGGCTACCATACAAAAATGCAAACAATCGAGAGTGGACGTTGGCGTTACAAACTTACGGTGTCCTGCAAACTTGCAAAGTCTGAAGCACAAAGATACAACAATTCAAGGGTGGACGTTGGCGTTACAAGCTTAGAACGCCTTGACATTTGCAACGTCTACGAGTCTACGAGTACCATGCTTAACAAAATAAAGGGTGGATGTTTGTGGTGTTGGCGTTAGAAACTTGCAGTGTTCTTCAAATTTGCAAAGTATACCGTACAAAGAATGGACGTTGGCGTTACAAACTTATAGTTTCCCTGAAAATTGCATAGTCTACCATACAAAGATACAACAACTCCAGGATGGGTGTTGGCGCTACAAAAAACTTGCAAAGTCCACCATCCACAGATACAAAAATTCAAGGGTGGACGTCGGCGTTACAAACTTACTGTGTGTCCTTGAAGTTTGAAAGGCCTACCCTCACGAAAGCACACAAATTGAAGGGTGCACGTTGCCGTTACAACTGACAGTGTAAAGGGGAACTTGTAAAGTCTACCATACGAAGATACAAAAACTCAAGGGTGGACGTTGGCGTTACAAACTTACGGCGTGCCTGCAATTTGCAAAGTCTATCATACGAAGATACAAAATTCAAGGGTGGACGCTGGCGTTACAAACTTACGGTGTGCTTGCAGTTTGCAAAGTCTACCACACGAAGATACAAAATTCAAGGGCGGATGGTGGCGTTACAAACTTGCCGTGTCCTTGAAATGCGCATACCATGCGAAGATACAACAACTCAAGGGTGGACGTCCGCGTTAAAGCTAACAGTGCCCCTAAAATTTGCAATGTCCACCATACAAAGATACAACGACTCAAGGGTGGACTTTGGCTTCAAAAACTTAGTGTCCTTGAACTTTGCAAAGTCTACCATACAACGGTACACAAATTCAAGGGTGGACGTTGGCGTTACAAGCCTATGGTGTCCTTGGAATTTGCTACGTCTACCATACAAAGATACAAAGAGTCATGGGTGGACGTTGGCGTTACTAGCTTACCGTGTCCTTGAAGTTTGCAAAGTCTATCTCACGAAAGCACACAAATCGAAGGGTGCACGTTGCCGTTCACAACTTGCAGTGTAATGGGAATTTGCAAAGTCTACCATACCAAGATCAAAAAATCCACGGATGGACCTCATCGACATACTGGTCAGTGCGTCTCAGCGTCATATGGACGCTCTGCAGCTAAGTCGTTACAAACGTACAGTGTTCTCGAAATTTGCAAAGTCTACCATGCAAAGATACAAAATTCAATGGTGGGCCTTGGCGATACAAACCTTGCAGTTTGCACAGTCTACAATACACAGACACAAAAAGACTAGGGTGGACGTTGGCGTTACAAACTCTTAGTCCCCTTGAAACTAGCAACGTGTACCATACAAAGATACAACATTCAAGGGTGGACGCTGGCTACAATCTTAAAGTGTCCCGAAAGTTGAAAACGTCTACCATACCAGGATACAACATTCAGGGGTGGACGTTGGCTTTACAGACTTACAGTGTCCTTGAAATTTGCACAGCATACCACATCAAGATACAGAAAGTGGACGTTGGCGCTACAAACTAACCGTGTCCTTGAAATTTGCAAGGTGCACCCTACAAAGATACCAAATCAAAGGCGGACCTTGGTGCTACAGACTTAAGGTGTAAATTGCATTTTGGAATCTTGTAAAGTCTACCATAAAAAGATACATAAATTCAAATGCGGGCCTTACAAACTTATAATGTACTTGAAATATGCCAACGCTACCATACGAAGATACACATATTCAAGTGTGCACGTTGGTGTTACAAACTTGCAGTGTGCTTAACATTTTCAAACACTGCCATACAGAGATACAGAAATTGAGGGTGAAGTTCGGCCTTACAAACTTACAATGTCCCTAACATTTGCAAAGTCCAACATTCAAAGATATAAAAATTCAAGGGTGGACGTTGGCGTTACAAACATTCTGTGTCCTTGTCTACCATACAAGAATCCAAGGGTGGGAGTCTACCATATAAAGACATACGAAGATACACAAACTCAAGGGTGGGCATTGGCGATACGAACTTACAGTGTCCTTAGCGTTTACAAAGCTTACCAAACAACAATACAAAAAATCAGGGGTGGACGTTGGCGTTGCAAACATACAGTGTCCTTGAAATTTGAACAGTCTACCATACAAACATACAACAATTCAAGGGCGGACGCTAGCATTAAGAACATACAGTATCTTTGCAATTTGCAAAGGGCTACCATACAAAAATGCAAACAATCGAGAGTGGACGTTGGCGTTACAAACTTACGGTGTCCTGCAAACTTGCAAAGTCTGAAGCACAAAGATACAACAATTCAAGGGTGGACGTTGGCGTTACAAGCTTAGAACGCCTTGACATTTGCAACGTCTACGAGTCTACGAGTACCATGCTTAACAAAATAAAGGGTGGATGTTTGTGGCGTTGGCGTTAGAAACTTGCAGTGTTCTTCAAATTTGCACAGTATACCGTACAAAGAACCGACGTTGGCGTTACAAACTTATAGTTTCCCTGAAAATTGCATAGTCTACCATACAAAGATACAACAACTCCAGGGTGGGTGTTGGCGCTACAAAAAACTTGCAAAGTCTACCATCCACAGATACAAAAATTCAAGGGTGGACGTCGGCGTTACAAACTTACTGTGTGTCCTTGAAGTTTGAAAGGCCTACCCTCACGAAAGCACACAAATTGAAGGGTGCACGTTGCCGTTACAACTGACAGTGCAGCAAAGGGGAACTTGCAAAGTCTACCATACGAAGATACAAAAACTCAAGGGTGGACGTTGGCGTTACAAACTTACGGCGTGCCTGCAATTTGCAAAGTCTACCATACGAAGATACAAAATTCAAGGGTGGACGCTGGCGTTACAAACTTCCTTTGTCCTTGAAATGCGCATACCATACGAAGATACAACAACTCAAGGGTGGACGTCCGCGTTAAAAACTAACAGTGCCCCTGAAATTTGCAATGTCCACCATACAAAGATACAACGACTCAAGGGTGTACTTACTTACAGTGTCCTTGAACTTTGCAAAGTCTACCATACAACGGTACACAAATTCAAGGGTGGACGTTGGCGTTACAAGCCTATGGTGTCCTTGGAATTTGCTACGTCTACCATACAAAGATACAAAGAGTCATGGGTGGACGTTGGCGTTACTAGCTTACCGTGTCCTTGAAGTTTGCAAAGTCTATCTCACGAAAGCACACAAATCGAAGGGTGCACGTTGCCGTTCACAACTTGCAGTGTAAATGGGAATTTGCAAAGTCTACCATACCAAGATCAAAAAATCCACGGATGGACCTCATCGACATACTGGTCAGTGCGTCTCAGCGTCATATGGACGCTCTGCAGCTAAGTCGTTACAAACGTACAGTGTTCTGGAAATTTGCAAAGTCTACCATGCAAAGATACAAAATTCAATGGTGGGCCTTGGCGATACAAACCTTGCAGTTTGCACAGTCTACAATACACAGACACAAAAAGACTAGGGTGGACGTTGGCGTTACAAACTCTTGGTCCCCTTGAAACTAGCAACGTGTACCATACAAAGATACAACATTCAAGGGTGGACGCTGGCTACAATCTTAAAGTGTCCCGAAAGTTGAAAACGTCTACCATACCAGGATACAACATTCAGGGGTGGACGTTGGCTTTACAGACTTACGGTGTCCTTGAAATTTGCACAGCATGCCACATCAAGATACAGAAAGTGGACGTTGGCGCTACAAACTAACCGCGTCCTTGATATTTGCAAGGTGCACCATACAAAGATACCAAATCAAAGGCGGACCTCGGTGCTACAGACTTAAGGTGTAAATTGCATTTTGGAATCTTGTAAAGTCTACCATAACAAGATACATAAATTCAAATGCGGGCCTCACAAACTTATAATGTACTTGAAATTTGCCAACGCTACCATACGAAGATACACAAATTCAAGTGTGGACGTTGGTGTTACAAACTTGCAGTGTGCTTAACATTTTCAAACTCTACCATACAGAGATACAGAAATTGAGGGTGAAGTTCGGCCTTACAAACTTACAATGTCCCTAACATTTGCAAAGTCCAACATTCAAAGATATAAAAATTCAAGGGTGGACGTTGGCGTTACAAACATTCTGTGTCCTTGTCTACCATACAAGAATCCAAGGGTGGGAGTCTACCATATAAAGACATACGAAGATACACAAACTCAAGGGTGGGCATTGGCGATACGAACTTACAGTGTCCTTAGCGTTTACAAAGTTTACCAAACAACAATACAAAAAATCAGGGGTGGACGTTGGCGTTGCAAACATACAGTGTCCTTGAAAATTGAACAGTCTACCATACAAACATACAGCAATTCAAGGGCGGACGCTGGCATTAAGAACATACAGTATCTTTGCAATTTGCAAAGGGCTACCATACAAAATGCAAACAATCGAGAGTGGACGTCGGCGTTGCAAACTTACTGTGTGTCCTTGAAGTTGAAAGGCCTGCCCTCACGAAAGCACACAAATTGAAGGGTGCACGTTGCCGTTACAACTGACAGTGCAAAGGGAACTTGCAAAGTATACCCAAAAACTCAAGGGTGGACGTTGGCGTTACAAACTTACGGCGTGCCTGCAATTTGCAAAGTCTACCATACGAAGATACAAAATTCAAGGGTGGACGCTGGCGTTAGAAACTTACGGTGTGCTTGCAATTTGCAAAGTCTACCACACGAAGATACAAAATTCAAGGGCGGATGGTGGCGTTACAAACTTGCTGTGTCCTTGAAATGCGCATACCATACGAAGATACAACAACTCAAGGGTGGTGTCCTTGAAATTTGCTACGTCTACCATACAAAGATACAATGAGTCAAGGGTGGACATAGACCCCTGGGCCTGTGCAGTTTATCACGCGGGCTCAAAACCCAGCTTCTGCATATATGCAGAAGTCGTGCTCTTAGTTAGCTCTGAACTTCTACATAACTTATGCATAGCTATCGCGCTTATCTAGAAGTTTATGCCGAAGTTGCTATGCGGCCGGGAGGCCCTTTGCGCAGCGACATTCGCCACAAAATGCATAAAGGTCAGTGGTAACATCCGTAAACTCTGAACGGTCCCAAACCCTGAACTACCTATCCTAGACCCTCTGTCCCACAAAAAAGAGGCCTTCACCCCACCACCCTTCCAATCCTAGATCCAATGCCCTCCGAAACCTGCACTACTCCTGTGCCTCCGTGCTGCTGCTGTGCCGCTACTGTACTACTGCTGTATTACTACTACTATTACTGTGCTATTACGATTACTACTGCTACTGCTACTACTACTACTACTACTACTACTACTACTACTACTACTACTACTACTACTACTACTACTACTACCTACTACTACTACTACTACTACTGCTACTACTACTACTACTACTACTACTAATACTACTACTACTACTACCACTACTACTACCACTACTACTGTACTGCTACACCGCTACACTACTACTGTACCAAAACTCTGCTACGACGGTACTATTATGTACTATTACTGCATTACTAGTACTCGTGTTGTTGCTACTACAAATAGTAGTACTGGTAGCAGTGGTACTACCACTACCACTACTACTACTACTACTACTACTACTACTACTACTACTACTACTACTACTGCTACTACTACTACTACTACCACTCCTACTGCTGCTACTGCTACTTAATGTTGTTTTACTACTGTACTACTGTTGTACTACTGCTGTGCTGCAGCTGTACTACTATTGTACAAATACGGTATTGCCTTTGTAGTACTAATGTACTGCATTGCTACTAGGGGTGAGGGTGCAGGTACGGGGGGTGTGGGTGTGTGGATGTGCGGGTGTGGGGGTGTGGGGGTGGGGGTGAGTCGGTGTGGGCGAGGGTGGGTGGGGGTGGGTGGGGGTGAGTATGGGTGGGTGTGGGTGGGTGTGGGCGGGTGGGGGTGGGTGTGGGTGGGTGTGGGCGGGTGTGGGTGCTGACCATCCACCCCCCGCCGGTCATGCAGAAATGCATCTTCGACAAGCATCATGTTCTCACAACCAAAAAACATCTCTGAAACTCTTGAGGTAGTAGTTTCAATGTGTGCTGAAAAAAGAAATTTTCACACAGTGGATGCTGAAAGACGGTGCCGTGAACTTGCGAATCATGCGACGACCGACAACTGTACTCCACCGTCTTTTGACACCATGTCTGTCTCGGTGGCGACATGCCTTAAGTCAGCAACGCGACACCTTAACACATCGACACTCTTGCCTGACTGGTGGCACTGTGCACATCCTTCACCACAGGGCCTCAACCCGTGCAGACATGCATCAATCGACACAGCGGAGGCGAAGCTTCAGCAGTGTCAGGACCCAGGCGGGGGAGCCAGGAACTTGCCCACTGCCACAGGCGCCTTCAGCAACTTCATCCGCAGAGGACTGCAAAGAGCATCTCAAACAAGCGGCTCAAGCCTCAATACCCTCGGCACCGCTTTTGCCCCGCATGGCCTGTACCAGGGGATCCCGGCAAGCACAGCTACTCTTCTCAGAGATCTACCTCTGCAACGCACTTCCGCACAAGCCATCTGAACCTGGAACCTTCCCTGCACGTACTGAGAGACGAATGCACGAGACAAATTGCAGATTGAATCCCCTTGACTCACAGTCACCTGGTAGACAGCTGGAGCAAGTCCGTGGCTGGTGAGCCACCAACGCCTGGACAAACGGAACTGCGAACGGCCCATCTCAAATCAACCGAAAAGCTTTGAGGCTCCAGCATGTGCAAGGGAATTGCCTCCGCATGACCTGCATTGCATCCGCCGTCGCGGAATCTCGTGCACTCGACAGATCTTTCCGGTTTGACATGTCGCCACGCTTTCCGGCCCGCACCATATCGAAGCCCGCGGTTTCCATCATCACCACAGCCTTCCATGACCTGCACGAAGCATGCAGATGCCCTGCATGGACATGCAGGTGAACGCTCTGCAAAGCTTCTAAAAAACTTCAGCAGAATCCAGCCAACGTTCCGAGGCTGAAAAACACAGCGTCTCCTCTTTAACATGCATGTAGGGACAGGAATTAACAAAGTGCCTTACACTGCCTTACACTGCACATACCTTTCGAATCAAACCCTTGGTGGAGATGAAACAACGCATCCATGATCCGCAGAGAAACGATATGCTCATGCCGCTGTCAGCCAAGTTCCCAGCGTAGTACAGTCGAGGCACCTCGATATGTATCTACCCAGCATGACCAGGATACTCAGCGCATTGTCGCTAGATGCTTCTCACTTATCTTCCTGTGGCACCTGCCTTTCTGCATTTCTACTGCGATTTCTGGTCTTCTCTACGTCTCTCCGGGCTCCCAATATCTTGCACGCGGTTTTCGAAAATTGAAGCTGTTGTTGACACTCGGAAATCTATTTTGACTATTGTACAACGATTGAGGATCTGCAGCGATTGCTGGAACTTTTTGCCCTCTTTCCGATACCCAGTTGTCCGAAAGTGTCGTCCAATCTCAGGAAAACCTACGGAAGCTGGCATAGACACTTAGTCATTTTAGACGTCGACAAGGAGATGCAGACGGGCACAAACACAGCGACCCATTCGCCCTGCGATGAACAGCGGTTACAACTGCCTGCCTTCTGCTGAGAGTTTGCTTCTTTTCTGTGGGTGTGAGCATTTCGGAAGCGGAGAAACAACAGTAGGAGCCCACACAGGCACCTTACAAACCTTAATTGTCCAGGGCATATCCTTCAGGGCGTACGCTGCACAAGAGTTTGCATTTGTTTATGCGGGCTTGGCAAGTAGAAAGCAAACGATCAAGGAGTTCAGTGTCTGGGTCGGGACAACACACCAGAGACGGTCGAGTCTTGGTAAGTAGGTTAGTGAGGCCAGACATTTATCATGATAACCTCACTGAGGGAGCTTACAACCCTAAGGATAGGCTACGAGGCGCTCTTTGCCATTAACAGGGCAAAAGGAAACCTGGCCGATCTGACTAGTTTTTCTTCATTGGCGGACCTCCAGACACGACCAACCCCGACAAGCTGCATCAAGGAACTTACCCGGAAGCCTAAACCCCGAAAAACCACACACAACAGACCCTGAAATTGGAGACCTAAACCCTCAACCCTAAGCCCCTAAACCCTAAATCCTACACCCCTAGCCCGATTCAATTCAACTTCCCCCTAAGCCTCGCTTGGGAGCCCCAATCTCGGGATTGGGCCCAGCATGTCAGCGCCTGGCTCTGGATAAATTTCAGGGCGTTTCCGAAAATTCGGTGCAAGGGGGTACCTTTAAGGGAGCCTACAAGGGTTGTTATAAGGGTTCTATAAAGGGTTTAGGGTTTCTAGTTTCCGAACACTACGGGGTACCTTATTTGGGGGTCCTTATAATAAGGATCCTACTATTTTTCGTACTTTACTAGGGTCCCGTAGGATCGGATCCCATTTCAGGGATGTTGATTCGGAGCCTGAATAAATGGAATGGGGCTCTGGGTCTCTAATGTAGGAACCTGATTAAGAAACCCTTGGTCTTGATTAGGGTTCCTCATATGAATCCTACTGTTTTGCGGCTGTGGGCCCAGGGTTTCTTAATCAGGTTCCTACATTATACTTGGATTGGTGTTTACGACCGCATTGTAGGCGGGTCAATTGGCCTCCCACCATCAGAGTCTCCTTGGGTGTCAAAACTTTGTGGCTGTGTGTAACCCTAACACTCCACGCCAACAGTACGTGGCGGTTTCCGAAAATAGGGGACCCTAAAATAGTACCCTAAATAGTATGATCCTTTTTTTAGGGCCTCAAAATATGGTACCCCAATTTTCGGAAACCCCCATCTGTTTCTCGGCTTTAGAGCCCCAAAACACTGCTGGTTTGGGCACCTGGAGTCTTGGGGAAAAACGGATCTCCAGCCTCCGGTTTAGGGTTTAGGGCTCTTGATTCCAGGGCTTCAGGGTCATTTAGAGTTGTGGCATGATCTTGGGGTTTGGCTCTCAGGGCTCGTGGCCGAAGGTACGCGGTTCAGGGCTTTGGGTTTGGGGGTCCGTCGGTTTCGGAGCTCGGGGTTGCGGGTGTTGGTTTGTGACTTTTGCAGCTGTTAAAGCTTCGTGAACCCCTAAACCCTTGGGGCCTTGGCTCTCCTAAGAGGTGTTTCAGGTGTGGCATTCAAAGGAAGCTTTTTCCAATCTGGCATTCAATGGTGTCCAGAGCCTGGGGACTAGAGTTTCAGAACCCGCCCAAAACAAGACGGGGACCTTAAAGTACATGCGACGACACTTTCCACCACGATCCTCTACGTGAGCCGCTGTTCTTCTGGCCGACGCCGATGCTACCCCTTTCGTAACACCCGCATCGCAACCTGCTTGAGCTTGTGAAGCAAGGAGATGCCTCGCAGAAGCATTTGTTGAGAAAACACAAACGAATCGAGTCACGGCTCAGCCTTACCCTCTCTTTCGCGAAATTCCATACTGAAGTAAATCCATGCAGGCATGTTGATTCCGAAGGCTGTCTTGGTGGACAAAAGGCCCATAAACCCCGCGTGCATCGCGGAAGCCGGTGGATTCTGCAAGATCGTATGCTTGCTGCCCACGTGAAAAAGGCCCTGTGCTGCGTTTGACCTTGCACATGACAAAAGTAGTTCCTATGAGTAAGCTCGGCAACATCCAAGCATAACACCTGTACGCCATGTGTGGATACATACATACACACACATACACACGTTCACACATACATACATACATACATACATACATACATACATACATACATACATACATACATACATACATACACACACACACATACATACATACATACATACACTTATCTACATACAAACCTACGTACGTACGTATGCGCAATACGTAAACATGTAGTCAATTAGCTACATAGATACACAAACAGATTCATACTGTACATAAATGGAGAGACAAAAGGACGGACAAATAGAAAGACAGATAAATACTGCAGATAGATAGACAGATAGATACATAGATACAAAGGTACATACAGTACATACATATCTTTAGTTTTACATATGTATTTACATAGCCTATAGATACCTTTGTCATACATGTATATGTATGTACATGCAGCTACATAGATTCTTAAATTTCTGAGACTGTCCATATTCAAGGATACAGAATCAGGCCAAGTTATGGATAAGACATGCATTCTGATGGAATGGCCGTGTTAACATGACCGGAACAGCAACCCAACCCCACATCCAACCTTTGCACAGTTTACGGTGTAGGGCTGTTCATTTTTCTTTTCGTGCTTTGCACTGCTGCGTCACGGAACACTCTGGGGTTGGGCCGAAACTTGCACCAGTGCGCTACAGGCAACAGAAGGTACGACAAAATTTAGTCAGCACACGGAGCATCAGCCTTTGGCTTGAGCAACGAAAACTGTACCAGACTCGTGAGTGGACTCTGGGTTTGTGTCAGAAAGGGAAGGAAAGTACGAAGCAAGGCAACAAAAGACGAAGTAAGGCATGGGAAAGGGAGGGGGGTTACGTAACCGGCACACAAAACAGTAGTCTGAATACATATTGTCCCCCACACAAGGACGACCTTTGTCTGGTCGTCATTAAGCTTGCCTTCCATCCAAAGATGCTTGTAGCCGGCCACAATGTAGTGCCCCACCATGCCCCTCGAGCTGCGTGATCGTTGGTAGGAGCGACGCGGTCATTCGAGTGCCCCGAGTTTACAAGCGGTCCGTGACCTCGGAAGGTACCGCCCGTGTGGCCAGTGGCCGTCCTGGGTAGAGCCGCTGCGCTGGTTCTTGCATTGTGCGGGCCTGGACCGTGATTGCAGTAGCGGACGCGTCATTGGCATCGATGTTCATGACTCTGTCGTGCGCTCCCGTGGTGGTCATGAATGGCAACTCTCGTTCGTGAGGTAAGATGAAGTAAAATGGCGCCAAGCGTATCCACCTGCTGCAACCGTCGTCACACTGTCCTGACGTTGTGGTTCCTCTCTCATGTAGGTTCGGGCTGCTCTCATATCCTTTGCCAGCTCGACGGCTCCTCCGCTTGCACGTGAGCCTCCGGCAGAAACTCCTCTCTTTCCGCCGTCTACCGGAGAGTAGCCTCCACCGTTTTCAAGTCGCCGGCATCATTCTGAGGGTTGTTACTCCGACCGGTCAGGCGATGCTTCTCATGTCGGATCAAACTCGCTTCATCTCGGCTGGCTTGCCTTTCCCGAAAGCTGTAAAGGACAACATCACGGGCTTGCTTGTCAATAGTGGCCTGGAACTCGTCCGGCTCAGGCTCACTCAAGCACGCCAGGCGTAAGACTTGGTTTGCTCGCGTTGAGCTGCCCCCAGTCTGCCAATATACTTGTCAGCAAGTCGTACTTGGTTCTTGCAACCGCTCCATAGTACGGCATCGTCCATAACGCTAGTTCGGGGAGGGGCTAGGATCTTGAAAGGGTGCGCTGAAGTGAGGTATGGTGCACCTGACAGTTGACAGGGTCCTTCCCCAGCACGCCAATCCTCTGCCAATCTACGATGGTCACATGCGCGGGCTGCATGCCTGTTTGTACTGCTGGCTCAGCTTGGGCTTGGTGTACCGGTAGGCCAGATCTTCGATCCAGTTGGGGCCGTCATGGTCCTGGCAATCATTCTTGGTCTAGTGTGTGGAAGTATCGGCGCATGGCCTTGGTCCATTTTGATGTCCGGCACATGTTTGTGATCACCTCCTAGTTCCATCTAGCTGCCGCTCGCCAAGGACGCCGTCAATCTGATGGCCACAGCAGCTGGTGCGTCGTCCATTGTCGAATGTCTGGTGCAATCCATCGGAGCTGCCCACTGCCCACCCACATCTCTTGACCTGCGGCTACTGATCTCAAGCGTTTCCGGTAAGAGGGGGCGATATCTCGCACGCCGCAGCAAAGGTCCGATTCTGAACCGACAGAGAAGTGCTCCTCAGTCCACCTCATTACCTGATCAATTCGTTCCAACGCGTCTGCATCTGGTCCTGGTTGACCCCGATGGTCTCCGCGATAAGGCCCATGTCAATCCGGCGCTGGGTGGCGGAGGCCTCGTCACCCCCAGCACAGCCTGCCACCCAGGCACATCAGGCCTGTCTCCAAAATAAGCCGCTTGCAGCGCCCGGCATGGGAGCCATTGGCCGTCTCCTTCGGAGTGCGCCCGAGGTTTGCCACAATACCTTGTCCCCGGTCATGCATCTGTAACTGACATTAGCTTTTCGGATACGCTGGCCAATCTGGATTCTCCTGTTCAAGTTTTTCGCTGATTCCGCGTCTTCCCCCCATTGTCTGTTGCAAGTCCTCAGGGTCCAGTGCAGACGAGGTCGTCGGGGTACCAAACGTCAAAGTCCACCAAGGTGTGCTTGAGCTGTTCCAGGACGGTCTCCCCGGCAGTGTCATCAGGCCATCCACCAAAGATGAGGAGATTGGTTTCGTCACTCGGTGGTGCATGGAACCAGAGACGTAGTGACGTCGGGTGTTTAGCTTTGCCAGTTTCTCTTCCATGTCGTTGTGTTGGTCACGAAGCTGCCCGATATGGTCATCGCGTCCGTGTAGTTGTTGCCTAGCCTTTTGGTTTCCTCTGCTTCAACCCGGCAACTGCAGATTGGAGGGCTCTGACCCATTAATCTTGCAGCCTGCGAGGAGGAGCTTGCAAAGCTGCCACGTCTAGGATGATTCCTCTCTACCTTCGGACCGACGCCGGTTAGGCGACTGGTTTTGTCTCCACCGTCCCATTTGTTGACTCTCTTCTGCATGTCGGCATCGTCCTCCGGCACGGATGTTTCGGCCACCCTTTGACTCGCCTTGACTCACCTAGGGCGAAGGGGCACCTTCGCCCAGCACTTTCGAGTCTTGAGCTTGAGCCTTGGATTGAGGGTTTAGGGTTTTAGGGTTTACAGTATCCCCCTCTCAGACCGCTTGCAGCAGCCCGCCAGCGCAAGCGCACGGCCAGGCGCGCACTGCGGCTGAGCCCCCAGCAGTCACGTGCCTAGAAGTGGCCTCCACCGCGCCAGAATCTGGGCGGCTGTCGAGACCTCATATCGGAGTGTCTTCGGATCAGACTGACCGCTATGCTCTTCAACGCTTATATCTCTACAGTCTAAAACCCGAAACTTGAAGCGTCTGAGTTTAGGATTGTACTCCACCTACGGGATCCGATGCCCGACCACGGCAAGATGCAAACATTGTTTAAGCGTGACACCGAAACAGCAAAGAAATAAAAAAACCATAAGGTTGGGATGT